GTAGAAAATTGGCTGGCAATTGTGAGAGGATAGAATGGGAGTTCAATGGAATCAAGAATGGCTTAGGAAAAATATTAAAAATAAATAGAGAAGAAAATAAAATAAGATAAGGAAAAGGTCCCAATTTATCCTCTCTCTTCTTCTCTTTTCCATATAGCCCCCTACATATAAAATAAAAAAATAAATGGAAAATGAATTTTAGGGAATTAAAATAATATTCAATAAAATCTGGAAAAATATGCAATAAATCTCAAAAATTCCTTAATAATATTTCTTTTCCCTTTAACTAGAAATATTACATATTTATTCTAAATTATGTCAAAACAAATATTAGAAAGCTAAGATAAAAGAGGTAAAAGTGTGTAAAATATATGAATATCACCTTTCTAGACTAGTTGTTAGCGCAAGTGGTTTAGAAAGATAGGCGGTGGCACTATCATAATTATATGGAATCTCGTTAAAACTTTCCAGACTGGTTACAAGACTAACCAGTCCTAAAAATCTTTTATAGATGGGTTGCCAACACAATCGGTCTAGAATATTTTTTTAAAAAAAATCAAAAGTTAATTTTTTCTTTTACACTTTCTACACTGGGTAACTAAATAACCGGTTTGGAAATTTTTTTCAGGGGGAATGACAATTAAATACCTTCTAAGAACATTAATCCTAATTATGGACCGTGAAATTTTGAAATCCTAGTTAAGGACCATGGTCTTTAATTGTGATAAAAAATATAGTTTGTGAGGTGGAGTTCATTATTGTCACTTGAGAATTCACTAACCCAACTTGAAAAAATTTGTAACTGTGTGAAAACATGAACCCCACTTGAAAATCAATTGTTTAACAAAAAGTGCCACTTAAGAATTCACTAACTTGACTTGAAAAAATTTCTAACGTATATTGTGAAAATATGAAACTCCAATTGGGAATTGATTGTTTAATAAAAAACACTAATTTGGACAAGTCATTTTTATTAATGATTCTCAAATAGGGTTTCATTTTTTCACAATATACGTTAGAAATTTTTTTTAAGTCTAGTTAATGAATTCCCAATTGGTGTTTTTTGTTAAACATTCCATTTTTAAGTGGGATTTCATGTTTTCACAATATACGTTAGTAATTTTCTCAAGTTAGGTTAGTGAATTTTCAAGTCACATTAGTGAATTCCACCTCACAAATTACATTTTTTATCACAATTAAGGACCATGGTCCTTAACTGGAATTTCAAAATTTCACAGTCTGTAATTGGGATTAATGTTCTAAGAAGATCCTTAATTGTCATTCTCCCATGTTTTTTATTTTTTAATGAAATTTTTTTGAAGATATATAGACTAGTTAAGCTAACATCCAGTTTAGAAAATGTTTATTTTTTTTAAATTTCAAATGACTTTCTATAGCAGTTATATTGGAAACTGGTGTCTAAAAAGTGTTAGAAATGAGATGGTTGCATAGGGAGAGGCCAATTTACTATGTATTGCTCCTAATATGAATTGCTTGCATTGGGAGAGACTGTTCCATTTTACAGCAGTATGGGTTCTCCATGATGAACTTGAAGATAATAAAGATAATTGACTACGCTGAAAGGAGAATGTGGGTTGGCCTCTGAGTGAGATTCTTGCTTCTCTAGTTTTAATATAAAGATAATGTAAAGAATCAGAATGGAACAGAAAAAAGTAGAAGAAAAGATTAATATATTCAACTAAATCATGATCATGATGATCATGTAAAAATTCTTTAGATAATGTAAAGATGATATGCATAAGAACGCCTAATCATGATGATACATGAGGTGGGGCAAAACATCAATGAATATAGGTGGGACAAGTGACCTTTTATATAGACTAGAGTGCAAACCAACTATAAACTAACCAATACAAAATTACATCTAGTATCTATAGAAATTTGTATCCACTTTCATTTATGAAACAAGAAGTAGGTAGTAGTAACATTCATGATTTAATTGGAGCAACAAGGTCATCAACATACAGTTTCAGATAACAAAAATATAAATGTGTTTATCGATTATTGTCTCAACTCATCTTCATTCATTTTACTATTTTTTTAATTTTACCATTTTTTTTATTTTTTTTATTACTTTTACTCTTCTTTATTAACCCAGTTAGTGTATAATAAAAATTAAAATATAAAATTTACTATTATACAAAAATATCACATATTTTACACTCATTATTTTATTTTTGACTTTTTTTCTAATTAAAAGGGCTCCTTCCCCCTATTTTTTCTCTTTCTTCCCCGCTTCAGCTTTAGTCTTTAGCTTCAGACAAAAACAAAATCCCTAAATGCCAAAATAACTTAATCGCTGATGAATGAACTGGGATGATATGGTCTTGGCGTTTCTGGTGAATGAAAACGATCAATAAAGAATTAGAAATGGTCAAATGGGACATGGGATTTGTGTTGTGGCTTTGTGCCTTGTGCAACTGTGAGTGAATTTGTGAGAAAGCCTTCTCTTGGGAGTTAGAACCACAACTTTTTTATTTTTTATTTAACAATGATATTATTCATTTATTTCTTTTATTTTATTTTTATTTGATATGTTTATGTCATATTGTTATTATAATAATTTATTTAGATTTTCAAATGAAATTTAGTTTTTTTTTAGGCTTCTTACAGTGGAGAAAATTTTCAAAAGAAAAGCAACATCATTAGACCAACAATCTTCTCAAACTCATGGTGAATGTAGAGATAGAACATTAGATCCAAGACTTTTGGAATTTAATTTACAAAGGTTCCTAGTGATCTTAGTTTGAGATTAAAAATGTCTTGTTGTCATCCAAATGATAGAGATGAAATTAGAAGATATTATTTGCAAAAAGGTCCCTGTCAACCAAAAGAGATTAATTTTTCACAAAGACAATTTGGGAATACCTTTGGTACATTTAATCTTGATTGATATCCAAAATATGAAATCTCATAGGGAACAAAAGTTTGGATTGAATTGATCGAGTAAGATTAGGGTTCACAATGGTTAAAATTTGAGGCAAAGAAAAGAAAAAGAAAAGAAAAGCAAATTTCTTTGTTTTTCTTTTTTTTTTTTTGTGGGTGAAAAAATGGACCCCAAAATCTCACGACTTTCATCGTCTTTGGTTTCCCAAAGTTGTGAGTGAAAATCATGACTTTTATCATAATTTTTTGCAACAAAAAAATTCCGGAAAAAAAAAAAAACAAGCCTGAAATGTAAACCTTTGATGCAATCAAGTAGACATTATTCAAGTTACCATCTTGAGCGAGTATATAATTTTGTCCCCCAGCATACTTTTTCTTTTTTTGCCAATATCCTCATTATATCTTCTCTTACTTTAATTTGCAAGGAGATATATTTAGGGATAGTGTAGTTTATGATGCTCAGATATCTAAATGTAAAATGCAAGCTTATAACTAAGCCAAAAAATGCAAGTTTCTATGTAACAAAAAGAAAAAGTTTTTTATTAGTTATGGACCTATTAAATTAAGCCTGTAGTAAAAAATGAAACTTATGAGAAAGAAGCTGCATTTTCGTGATGTATTCTGTATGAAGAAGAAACTAAAATAAAAACAATAGACAGATAGGATTAGTTTAGAAAATTGAATAATTTAAATTTAAATTTAATTTACAAAACATTACATAATTTTTAGCTGTATTAGATATGTAGCTCATGAACTTACATTGAATATCCTCCATGTTGTTGTATGTCAATAGTAATTTATATTATGCTGTTGTAATGGAATTATATAATGTTCGTGTATGGCATCAATTAAAGGTGAATTTGACAACTAGGAAAGGGAGAATTTGACAAGATGGTCAAAGATTAGGTATGGATTAGGAGACATACATGTTTTAAATAATACCATTATTTGCTAGTGGCGAAGTAGGTAAGGCAATGAATGCCATATTAAAACATATTTTAAATGTAACCTCACCAGTTCCACCTTGCTCACTAGAACTCACAAAAAATAAAGATGAAGTTGGCCAACAACGACTAGACTGAAAATAGTTTATTTAAAAAAATTTTATAATAACCACTTTTTATAGAGAATGTTTCTGATCGTGCTGAGACACACACACAAACACAAATATGTAATTTGATTGGCTTCACGTGGTCATAAAGGTATGGAGAAAAATATTGTAGGATAGCTAGCCAACAATGTTATAGTTTCATGACTATCTCAATACAATTAAAATCACTTTAATAGGAACTGGATTAAAAAAATCACATACTGATTATTTAACAAAATCTTTTTAACATAAAAAATAAAATTTATATGATGCTACATTATTTATAACGCGATCAAAGCACAGACAAAAGTAAAATCAACAAAAGAGAAAAATGAAACAAAGAAGAATACAATAATAGCCTGTTATCCTCAGTCATGTAACGAGCACTCCAAACTGGGACATCAACAAACATGGTTCCTTTTATGGTATATTAGTTATATACGTATCGTAATTTATTTCATGCTTGAGGTATAGTTGTTTTTTTAATTATTATAGACATTTTGCTCAGTAATCTTTGGTCTTCTTTGTAAGAAAATCGAGAATTGACCGCTTATTGAGGGTTTCAACTTTTAAGATGAGCAAGGTTATGAAAGACTCGAGAGCGTGATTTAATTTGTTCTAGCTATTTGGGCAAATGGGCTTATAAATCCGTGATCATGAAATTATATAACTTTATAGCTTCAAAATATCTATTTTTCATCAATAAAATTTAATTCAAGAAATCTAATCAATGTATTTAATTGACATAATTGCATGAAATACATAGAAGTGATTACGTCACTGCAATTAAACTTTGATCGGTAAGGACATTGCAGAGAGCTTTCGACCCAATTTAAATTGCAAGTTGGATCAGTTGTCAAAGTTGACTTTTGAAAAACAAAAACAAAAGAAAAAACAGCTGACAAAGTTGACTTGACCATGCTATTTTTACCAAGTCAACCTAAAAAGCCCATCGTCATTATAATTGAACACGGCTTTCCTCTCAGTTCTTACACCAAAAGAAAAAGAGTTCTTCCAGTTTCAGAAGACCAAAGGAATTTGATCTGAAGACTGAAGCTGCTAAACCTCCTCTTCTTCTCCATGTGCAATGACGATGGACCTTGTCGAGACTGTTCACCGAAGCAGTTTCGGATGATCTTCTTCGGTGTGTCCTTTCACTCCTTCCTTTGTCCCAATACTTCCTTCGGTTCTTATTATAAAACACTATTTTTGAAAGAACTTTTTGTCCTTACTATAAAGCACTTGATATGTATTACTTTGTGGATCATTGTACATATGGGTTTATATTTGGATGATGTTTAAACTTTTTAATAGTTTGTTATCGGTATTTATTATTGGTATTGTGTATGACTTATTGAAATAGAAGCTGTGAAAGTGCAATTTTCTTTATTATTGATTTTCTACTACACTATAAAAAATGGATTGGCTAGCCCATCCCATTTTAACCTGCACGGGTTAGCCTAGATAGTTTTTACATGGGCTAGGATGGGCATGAGCTGAATTTTCCAGCCGGTGTCCGAGACGGGATACGCTATGAGGAACCCTTTTGGTTGAGTGAAATTTTTAAAATGATTTTTTCTATATATTTCATATTTAGTGACTGGTGTTTTTCTGGGAAGCTTTTAATAAAAAAACGGTTGTTGGTACCTTTGTTTGCAATGGCCCCCAAGAATCTAGAGAATTTTTTTTAATGTCTTTATTGATTATTTTTCTTTTTTGTGTTCTTCATTGAATACAATATCTGATTATTAAAATATCTAGAGTGAGATCTCTAATTCTTTCAAGAGTATTTGAACTACTTAGTTGAGAATTATGTATCTCTTGGCGTGGTTTTAATATTTGCATTATGCTGAGTTATTCTTTGAATATTGTTGGACTATTCATGCTAAAATTAATGGTTTGTTATTTACATATTATATTTTTCATGGAAAAATCATTATTTTCTATTTAATTAATTTAAGTTATTTTAATCATGACCGGTGGCTCCAGGTTGACCCCAGTTGGACCCATGACCCTTGAATGCTTTGACTAGTTTAATGACGAGTCTTGGTCCTGTTTTTTGCACCTTATGTAGCACATAGTTCTTTAAATTCAATGAGATAATGGAAGAAGACTATCTTCCACAGTAACACGATTAGTGTTCCTGCCCACGATGGGCATGGCAAGCCTAAATTTCTCTTCTCCTTCCTCAAGATAACAGTTCCTTCTTTTTATAAATTTATTTCCAGTTTTGAGTTAGTTTGACTCTAATGAATTCTTTGTCTTCTACCCTGTCCTTGAGTTTTTTTTTTTTTAGAGGGACCAACAGATGAAGCTCTAAAGAAAAAAATAGATGCCCAGAATTGTCAGAAGTTTTCCTATAAAACCTTATGTCAAGCTACCAATAGATTTGCCTCTCGAAATAAGCTCGGTCAAGGAGGCTATGGACTTGTGTACAAGGTAAGATCCTTAAGCAATTTTCTAATTTTTATAGGAATTTCAATTTTTCAACTCAACTTAGAAGGTAATTAAGGCATACGTGGTTGATTTAAAATGTCAATGAAGAAAGACAAAAGATAGCGGAAACATCACACAACAGTGGAAATTAATTTCCAAAATTATTGTATTTGTTCGTTATGCCAAACTTCTGCTTTTTTTTTTTTTTTTACTTTAAAAAGCATTTTACAAATGTTGATTTTAAAGAGATTTAAATTAAACCTTTGGTTTTTATGCTATAACAGGGGGAGTTGGATGATGGGAAAGAGATTGCAGTGAAGGTGCCATTAAATTTGTCAACACAGCATGAGGAACAATTGATAAAGGAGATAGAGTTGCTGAGTAGCGTGAAACACCCTAATGTGGTAAAATTGTTTGGTTATTGCACTAACAAGAAAAAAATCTTACTTGTTTACGAGTACGTTCCAAACAAGAGTCTCAACATGCTTTTATTTGGTAAGTGCCTACCTGCCTCAACCTCATCTTGTAACCAATCTCATGTCATTTTTTAAACTAGGAGTAATGCACTCTGCAGGTCCCAATAGGAGAGACCAGGAGCTTGATTGGAGTCGAACCTACAACATAATCGTAGGCATCGCAAGGGGTTTGAGCTATCTTCACATTAACCCCCAAAATTGCATCATCCATCGTGACATAAAGCCTGAAAATATCTTGCTTGATCATAAATGGGTGCCCAAGATTTCTGACTTTGGCCTTAGCCGCCTATTTGAGGAAGACCAAACCTCTGTCTATACTGATACAATAGCTGGCACTCGGTATGTTTTTAAATTTTGAGAGAAAAGTAAACCGCATATCATTTGATTTTATCTCTATTTCTCGTCATTTCTGCTTTTACTATCATTGAAAGAGAATCCATCTACTTGAATTTCAGTGTATATGGATTCGATACTAGAGCTTGTGAATCATGTACAGGGGATATGTGGCTCCAGAACATCTGATATCAGTAAAAACAGATGTTTATAGTTTTGGAGTTCTGGTGCTGGAACTGATAAGTGGGAAAAGATCATCATCATTTATGCCACCAGAGGGCAGTGCTATTTGTTTGCTTGATTGGGTAAGAATATTTTCCTCAAAACTCAAATGTAATCTACAAAGAATACTCAAGATCGACGATCAATCAAAACTATTTTCTTTTCTTGTTTTGGGGAAACAGGCATACAAGCTTTATGAGGAAAATAGGATCTTAGAAATTATGGACCCTGCTTTAGCAAATTCCGCAGTGACGGAGCAAGTGATAAAGTGCATTAAAATGGGTTTACGATGCGTTCAAGGTGACCCAGATTTACGTCCAGATATGGAGCGTTGTCTGTCCAAGTTAACATGTTGTGATCAAGACCACAATGAAGCCTCAATTTGCGAACCAGGAACACTTGGTTATGGACGCCATCAATCAGTCTCCCTCTCTAGTGAGTCCCAAAGTCTGAATCTATTTTCAATTATAGCTATTCCAAGATGCTCTACTTTATCAAGGTTCACCGTTTCATTCCTGAAACATCTATATATAACATAACCCTTATTTCATCCTGTTTCTAATTTACTGTACATCAACACATTTCCAAAAAAAACTTGCAGCATTTGAAGGAGCAGAACATGAGGCGAGTAATAATCTTGAGGATATTTCTGGGGATGAGTATGAAGGTGAGGATAGTTGATCAAATTCTAGTCAAAGCAAGTTAGAAGGTTCACATATACTGTAAGTGAAAGTTGAGACAGTACATTCCCTGTCCAAAATGAGTGGCAAGCCTGAACTCGATCCTCATCTACCTGCATGCAACATGGCAACAGATCTCCCAATATTTCCCGAAGTTCTGCAGACATGTCATCACGCTCCTTTTTGTTTTTTTTTTTTTAAATGCAAGGCAAATTTCATTAAGGTCTGTTTATTAATTGAAGTTGTTGAATCTAGTGCTTTCTACTCTTTCAGTTTGAAACATTTTCGTATGTTATGATGAAACTTTGAAACATTTTCGTATGTTATGATGAAACTAGAGGAGTGTCATTTGAAGTTAAAGGTGTTATTAATCTTCCGAGACATCCTATGTAATTTATTCTTCATTATGAACGTGTTGTCAGGCTCTATCTTTTCTTCCTTCATGAAATTTTGGAGCAAGACTTATAAATTAGCATATTATTTTAATTTACAAATTATCTATAAACTTTTTAAAAACTAGTTAAGCCGTTAATATTTAAAAGACAATTTATAAATTTAAAAGATTTCATTAAAGAAAATATTTATTAAATTTTAATTTAATAAAACTTTAGGGTGCTTAGTACTACTGCAAAAAAAAAGTTCACTAGAGACAAATTAGCATGCTAACCCTACAATATCAAGCCACACTAGATGGTAATAATGTAGCCACACATAATACGTGTAAGCAGATAATGGTGAAACAGGTGGCTTCTTAATAGAATAGATTTTTTGTCCCTTAAAAAAATGGTTTAAAATAAAAAAATATCCTACTTATCAGTATAAGTTATCCAGTGTTCTTCCAAAAAACAAATGAGGAGGGGTATGATCTAATACCCCAAAAAAAAAAAAAACAAGGTTAATGGTGGAGGACCAGCTCCTTCTACAATAAAATCTATACGAAACTTGATTAAAAGTTTTCAAACTATTGGAATTTAATTGCAAATCAAGTGAAATTATAAAGACTAGTATATTAATTTTTCCTGAAACAAAATTTAAATATAAAGCTCCCATTAAGTCAATTCCATAAAAATTAACATCCTTTTTCATTTTTTTAAACGTTTATTCTTACCTTTTCCCAAAAAAAACAAAGAAAACCATTTTATTTAGAAGACTTCAAAACGACTCTTCGTTTTTGTTTTTTTAAATGTAATGAAAACTTGAAAAGAAGTTGAATTGTTCTTTGTTTTTTTTGGCCTTTTTAACCAAAGGAGAAGTCCAATTCCTAACCACAATCTAACTGGATTGGCATGTGTCATATTTTAACTAGAAAGAATTTTTGAAAAAAAAAATTATATACTTTTTTCATACGTAAAAAACTTATAGAGAAAATTAATCTTAAGGGAAGAAGAATGTCACCCAGAAAACTAAGTCAAATTAGATAACGATAATGTATTTTAATTATATCTTTATATATTTTGGAATAGACTTTACAAAATCTATTGTGAATTGGTGAAAATTCTCTTCATACTTTTTTGTCAAGTTTCGAATTTGAATCATCGTGGTGCAATTCTAGTGGGGGCAGTTTAGATCCCTTCTCCTCGTTCCTCTTGTCTTCATGGGTGAGCCAAGTTCCTTCCTTTCTCTTCCTTGTCAGATCTAAGTGTGTATTGTTATTGGGGAGCTGTTGAAATTTTGATTAGGAATGAAGTGTTGGAATTTGAAAATTTTTCTTTATTGTTGAATGTTCTAACATGCTTAAATTCAAGGTCATTACAGCTTCTAACCCTGTATGATACCAACAGGAGTGCTTTGGATAAAAAGCTCTTCCGTAGGGTACATACGGAGCTTAATTTTTTTTTTAAAAAAAATATTCAATGTTTTATAATATTGCATGCTTCATACATCTATGTGGAGTATTCTGAAGTTGAACAACATAACATGATAAAAAAATATACTTCTATTTAAAATTAAAAAAGATACAAAGTTTTTGAGTTTCGACTGTTTGGTACACAATCTCAAACAACTACTCAAACCACAATATGAGTGAAAAGATTCTTAATCTATTCTAATCTTTTAAACATAATAAAAAAAAAACGAAATCTAAGACAAAAAAGTTTGCTCCCACAATTACAGTTGATAGCGACTTTGAAAGGACTTGAAGGTTTCCACAGACTCCCCATATATGTACCTCATTGAAAATTGGAAAACAACAAAAATAATATAAAAACATGTAAAAAAAATAAAAGCAAGTAATTTAGAAATTGGCCTGGAGTTTCATTTCAGCGGGTAATATCAGTCGCATGTTTTGCAAAAAAAAAAAAAAAAAGAAAAAAGAAAACTTAGTGCCTAAACTAAACAGCAAAAACAATCATCAACAATATAATGACTATATTATCTCTGGAAATGACTCCCCAAAAAAAATAAAAATAAAACTACATATGATTATACAAGTGGACAATGCGCGCGTCTGTGTGTAAGAAATTAATAAACGGTAGTATTAAATATAACTGAATGCAGGGGCAGCACTTAAAAATATTTTATTTAGAAAATATAAGGAGTATGCGTATCCTAAGCCCCCATTTTATATATATCAATTGTTCTCAGTGATTAATAATTTTTATGACCCACATAAAAATCACATATTGTATATTCGTTATTTTATTTTTGACATTTTTTTAATTAAAACGGGCTCCTTCTCCCTAGTTTTTCTCTGAATGAATAATGATGAGTAAAGAATTAGAAATGGTCAAATGGGACATAGGAGTTGTGTTGTGGCTTTTTGCCTTGTGCGACTCTGAGTGAATCTGTGTGAGAGCCTTCTTTTGGGAGTTGGGACCACAACTTTTTATTTTTTATTTAATAATGCCATTATTCATTTATTTGATCTAGGAAAGCTTCCTAATGATCCTGGTTTCAGACTAAAAATTATCTTGTTATCATCCAAATGATAGAGATGAAATCAGAAGATATTACTTGCAAAAGGGTCCTTGTCAACCAAAAGAGATTAACTTTCCATAAAGACAATTTGAAAATACCTTTCCCACATTCAATCTTGATGTATCCAACATATGAAACCTTGTAGGGAAATTTTATTTAAAAAAAACCTTGAAGGGAAAACTTATTATATATGTTTAATCTTTTTTTTTTGTAATATTATGATGCATTTTTTGTATTACAAGTGTTTTATAAGTATAAATAAATGAATTTGTGGGTCTGTCACTGATCACTTGCAAAGGTTATATCATAGCTAGCTGGCCATATAGGCAGCCACCACATGTACGCATATATATAAATGATAAGTATTGACAAAAAAATAATACATTCAACCAACTTGTGGTTAGTGCAAGAAACCAGAGCCATTCAAGAGCCTACAAGAGAGGAAAAAAAATATACTAAAAAGGATTAAACAAGAGAAATCGCCCAGCAAAGAGAGGCATATTAACATATAAGAATACTCCATATAAATTCTTTTAATCCATTCATTCGTATATCCAAAAGCCATTTTCCACCATCATCTTTAAACTTTTATTTTTTCCCTTGCCAGTAAACCTCCCTCGTCATCTTTATGTCACTTCTTCTTCATGCTATTTTTTGAGATTCATTTCTCTAAAAGCTTTGTCTCTCATTAATCCAAGTTTTAGAACCTAAACATTTCTGCAAATCGCGAAAAGAAGATTTACCTAATGCAAAGTACTCCATCTGTTCAAAAATAGATGGCATTTTAAGATGTAATTGATATGCTTATTTCCAAGAACACCCTTAATAAATAAATGATCATTTTTTAATAAAAACTCATTTTATACTTATTTTTAAGTAAAACACCCTATTAAATAAGGGGTAAATATGGAAAGTTAATATTAGTTGGAAGATAGTTAATTAATTTATTGCGGGCAAGATTCAATTAAGAATACCTTATATTTTTTTTAACAAAAAGAATAGTTAAATGACAAAGTTGGATTCAGCCTTGGAAGGTGGGGTTTGGGGAAGACTAGATATGTCAGGTAGTAGAAGGTGGCACAAAGTTTCTACACAGTAGCCACATGCAAGGCAGAGACGACATCGACGACGGTTGGATGACATGGAATCTATGATGGCGTCGATTTAGTGTTTTAGACCTTACATAATTGGCATCGCACTCGTGTTGCAGAACCAGATCTTCGAGGAAGCTAAAGCGACGAGTCGCAAATATGTTACTTCTTGGGGACCTACAGTGCAACTATCCCAATCCTTTGTCTAGACTTAACAGTGATATTATTCCATGGGAGACAAACTAGTAATCAAAAGTTCAAAACATTCAGCAGGAATAAGTTACATGTGGAGAAAACAGCAGATGGCCATACTAAGAAATTAAAAATATAAAGATGTATAAGAGGAAATCACGATTCAAAGATAAGATTCATATGTCGGGTAAGGGGCCATTGATTGATTTTGAGGCTTACATTTTCATGGCTAAGAGAAGATAGAAACATGAACGAATTTCAATTGGAATTATTTTTTTTTTAACTACGTGTCAGCCACATCAGATTACTTGGTTAATGGTTGAGGACCAATGCCTTTTTAGTTAAATCTATAGCGACTTGATTAAAATTTTTGAAAGTGTTGGAATTTAATTGCAAATTAAGTGAAACTATAAGGACTAGTATATTAATTTTTCCTAAAATAAAATTTAAATAACAAGCTAGCATTAAGTCAATTCAATAAATTTAGCATCTTTTTGCATTTTTTAAAACGTTTATTCTTACCTTTTCTCATTAAAAGGAAAAAGAAAAAAGAAAAACCATTTTATTTAGAATATTTCAAAACGATTCTTCTTTAAAAAAAAAAAAAACGTAATGAAAACTTGAAAAGAAGTTGAATTGTTTTTCCTCCCTTTTAAACCAAAAGAGGAGTCGAATTCCGAACCACAATCTAATTGAATTGACATGTGTCAAAAAAACTTATATTCCTAATGTATTTTTTTCTAACTAAATCGCTAATAAATAGATAAAAACATGAATTTTATTATCTCGGGTAGTGTTTGGATAAGGTTTTAGTAAGAGGGGAGAATATCATTAACAAATAAATAAATAACTAAATTTTGTGAATAAAAATTCTACTTGCTAAGAATAAGGACAAAATTTGTTCTTTTAGCGTGCCAAATGTTTTTCATTGATTCAGCGTGCCATTGGGAAAATATTTTTTCTCATTACTAAGAATAAGGACAAAATTTGTCCTTTTAATGTACGATTTTTTATTTTTTATAAGCCCTTTTTTATGTAAAATGTTGAGTTTTAAAAAAATAAAAAAAGAATATAATTGAGAAACTTCATGTGCTGCCAATATCCGGGGCCTCCATTTCTTTCTGTTTTTCTTTGTTCAAATTGCTACAAATTTGAGTTGAAGTCAATGACGTTACAAAAAGTTGTTTTATGCTGCCACGTGACTTTGTTATTTATTTTATTCATCCTAATGTATTGC